AAGTCACTGAGCTTGACTATCCAAATAGTTCAAGCGACCGGTCAGGAGCTTCTAAACTGGGGTCCTGTCAGTGAAATCAAGTGAAGGTAAGACAGGCCGAGGGGCCTCCCAGCATCGGGCAGACGGAGGGGGGTGGGCAGCAGGCGTCGGGGGTGAGGCCCTGGCTCAGAGGCTGGAAGCAGGAACGTCCTCCCGGCGGTCAAGAGGCACAAAGGCCGCGCCGGGGTCTGAGCCGTCCTCATGGAGGGACGCCAAATGCCAGGAGGAAGGAGGACACTGCTGAGGGGAGAAAGGAGGGGCCGGGACAGACCCGGGAGAGATGTTGTTTCGGGGTCACTGCGGGCAAAGGAGGAAGCAGAGGAGAGGTGGCTGGGAAGCCAGACGGGGCCAGGAGTACCCAGGGTCACAGACCCAGGAGAGCAGCATTTGAGATCGAGGGACGTTTAAGGCAGAGGACCAAATGGTCATTTCACAGCCCTCCTGCTTCCGAAGATAAGAAGAGTGTTAAAGGGCTTCCCTGGGGGCGCAGTGGTTGAGAGTCCGCCTGCCGATGCAGGGGACACGGGTTCGTGCCCCGGTCTGGGAAGATCCCACATGCCGCGGAGCGGCTGGGCCCGTGAGCCATGGCTGCTGAGCCTGCGCGTCCGGAGCCTGTGCTCCGCAACAGGAGGGGCCACAACAGAGAGAGGCCCGCGGACCGCAAAAAAAAGAGTGTTAAATAGTTAAAAAGTAAATGAATAAGCAACTAGCAAGGTACTGGGGAGGAGCGGGGAGGGCGGGGACCCTGCTTCTGGCTGCTTCGGAGCAGGAAAACTCAGTGAGTGCCAGAGGCACCCCGCCCCGCCCCCACCAGCTCACGAGGGCTGCAGGCTGTCCAGACTCTTCGGGAACGGGCCTCGAGCCCCGTCCACCCTGAGTCCCCTCCTGGCTGTGCTGCCATCTGCCAGCAGTGCCGCACGGAGGGGCCCCAGCTGTCTGGGGCTCCCTGGGAGGCTCCACTGGCTCAGGCATGGGGACACAGCTCAGCCCGAGGGGACGCGGGAGCTGTGCAGGTTGCTTGGCCGGCAGGTTTTCCTCCTGACACCGGGGTTCGGCGGGTTTCCATAGAGTGGATTCTTCGAGCATCTTTCCCCCTCTCCTTAGCTCTGGGTGAGAGGAGAGCTGCTGCCTCCCGCCTTCCCCGTCCGGCACGTCCTTTCCCTGCGCAGCTGCAGGTCCACGTGCTTCCTCTCCACGTGCAGTTACCTTGTGGGCCAGTTAATGCCTGTCCTGTCAGTGGCCACTGATCCCTGGCCTCCGGGTGCCGAGCTCATCATGGCAACGACGGCCATGGCAACTCGGGCTCTGATGGAGAAACCACTTGGCAAGGCTGGCAGGGTCTGGGACCCCAGGAACTAAAAGAGCAGGTGTGTCCGAAGGCGCCCAGTGCAGGCGGGCCATGGGAGCAGTGGCCCAGGGCCCTCCCGTGGAGGTGGGCAGTGGGGCAGCCTCCCCTGGGGCTTTAGCAGAGGACGGCGGGCTCCCGGTGGGCCCTAATGACCACCCCCGCTGAGTGGCATTTGAAACGCGTGGCGTTTCTGCTCTTGTAATAAGTATTGTAAAGTGCTGTTTGTTAGCATTAAAAGAAAAAGAAGGAAAAAATTGTTAAAATCCCAGCCTCCCCACGGAGCTCTGGTTGGTTTTATCCTTAAAGAATCCTGCCACACGCTCTGCCTAGCCGCTGGCTAGGCAGAGAGCGGCCGCTTGCTTCTAGAAAGGCCGTCGTCGTGATGGTCTTGAAATCCAACCAGAGAGCCCAAGGGGCCCAGCAGGGATCAGAGGACTCCCCTTCCGCACTGAGAAGGCTCCTGTCTCTTTAGATCCAAATGTAAACCTTTTATTGTAGAAATTTAACCCCCGCCACCGCCGAGGTCTAGAACTACAATCGTGTTTTCGGTAATAATTTGTTTCTGGAGCTCAGTGCCAGGCGGCCCGTTTTCAATACTGCCCTGGAAGTCACACACACGTTTGTCTGTGTATTCATTCGTGTGTTAAACCAACGGGTCGGGCCCCGAGTTTGGGCTGGACCCTGGGGGAGGTGCTGGGGCTTCAGTGGCGAGTCAGACCCTGAACCCACCTTGGGGGCTCGTGGGACAAGTGGCAGCAAGTGTGGAAGACGCCTCGGGAGGAGGCGGGAGACACACCGCGTGCCCTGTGGCGGGACGCAGGCAGGGTAGGTCGCGTGGTAAACACATAGGTTCGGGGGCCAGGGGTTCTCCGCTGCAGCTTCGCGGCTCCATTGTGAGAGCATGAACGTGGGGCCGGCCGTACACGAACCGGTGAGCGAGGCCATGCGCCAGTGAAACTTTATTTACAAAGCAGGAGGCGGGCCGGGTTCGGCCTGCGGGCCGGAGGTTGCAGGCGCCAGCCAGAACTAGAGCCTTGCTGAGTAAGTCTGCCTAAGGCTCCTCTGCCTTAAGGACTCTGACTGTGTTTGACTTACTATTTAGGATTTGGCCCAGACCCTGTAAAGTGAGCTGCAAACCTGTAGAGGCCGCAAACCCAGAGGTTGCCGCTGTGCTGCTCTTCTAACCGGTTTCACGTCGCATGTTGCCGTCTCCTTGCGGCTTCCTTCCCCACACTGACTCAGACTCCGCCTCGGGTGCTCTCCCCTGAACCACCTTCGCACCTGCTGCTTCCCTCATCCGTGAGCAGCATAGATCTTCGACACGCACTGCGTCTGAGCGAGAACTGGGTGTGATCAGCCCTGCGCCGGGTCACGTGGAAGGTGCCGGCACAGCACGGAATTAGAACATCGCCTTCTGGCGGCCTGTGGTGGGGGGATAGTGGGGGGCGACGGGGTCCCGTTCATGGGGGCTTCCCAAAGGCCTGGTGCTGCCCAGGCCCAAAGGAGCTTGCCGGCTGCGTGAAGGAGCGGAGGGCTGGGTGCGTGACGGACGTGCGGGCGCTTGGGACGATATGATGCCATTAGGTCGTGACGGCTGGGCCCGCAGGGAGAGCGGCAGGCGGGGTCCGCGGAGACATACGGCGCCCACCTGAGCCCCCAGAATGCGGCCTCCATTCAAATCCAGGTCTTTTAAAAAGGAGCCAGAGCGCTGCTGGGGGCGGGGGGGGGGGTGACCTCGGGTGTCGCCACCCGACACTTGTAGGTTACGCTTATCAGAGCGAAAGCCCCACAGCCAACCCGCAGCCCCTTCTGTGGGGTCCCGCGCTGCAGACGCAGAGAGCTGGCCGCCTCGGTGCAGGGCCCCGGACTCCGGCCGCGTCCTCCCGATGTCCCTTCAGCGGCTCGCTGCTGTGCTGCCTCCCGGGCTCGTTACCCGCTCTGGCCTCCTGCCCTTTCCCCGCCATACGTTTGTGGCTGGTCATCCCATGTTTTATTTTGACGCTTTCTAGCCGAGGTGAAATCGTGATAAACATAAAGTGAACCGTGTTAGCCTGTATGGTTCACGAGTTAGCGCCTCTGCAGCATCCCCCACCCCCTCCATCTGGTTCCGAAACCTTTGCCGGGCTCCACCCAGCCCCCCATGCCCGTCAGGCCGCCGCTCCCCTTCCCCTGGCGCCCACCAGTCTGCACTCTGTGTCTGTGGGTTTACCTGTTCTGCATATCTTATGCAATGGGATCATGCAGTACGTGGCCTTTGGGGTCTGGCCGCTCTCTCAGCACCACGCTTTCGAGGCCCGCCCGCGCTGTAGCAGGTGTCAGGGCCCCCCCTTCCTCCGCTGAGCAGTGTCCGTCCTGTGGCCGCACCGCGCTTTGCTTCTCCGTCATCCCTTGATGGACACTCGCGCTGCTTCTTCCCTTGGCCGCCGTGAGCAGAGCGGCCGTGAACGTGTGTGTACGAGGACCTGCGGAAGAACCAGTTTGCACTTCTTCTGGGTGTAGACCCAGCGGTGGAAGCGCTGGGTCACGTGGTGATTCTAGGTTTTTGAGGAGGTGCCAAGCCACTTTCACGTGTTTAGTCAAGGGTATTTGGAGTTTTGCGCTCAGTTTCTTGGGGACTCATGCCGCCCGGCCCCGTGTTTGCTGTCCCCCTCTCATCCTCCGCGTCCGTTTCTCCAGTTTACCAAGGTCATTTGAATTCTCGTGCCACCCTCCCATGACCACCTGCCAGCCTGCCTGGGACAGGGATGCAGGGACATGAAGAGACCTCAGAGGCTTCCCTGGCTCGTGGTGACTCGTGTCCCCCCGTTGTTCTCTCGCGGGGACAGGCCCTGGGGCTCTGCAAGGCGGCGCGAGTGGGGCAGAGAGACTGGGGCAGGCAGAATTCAAAGCTGCCTCAGAAGGTGGCGAGAACCACGAGATGTGTGGCTCGGGGGCAGGCTGGGTGGTCCTGGGAGGGTCAGAGCCACGTGAAAATACCTCCAGGGCAGCCGACCGGACGGGAAGTTCACGGACGGGGAATAAATCAGCAGGAATGGGTCCCTGGGCAGGACCAGAGGGCGGGCAGGGCGCCCCACTTGGAAAGGGCTCAGCTGTGCCCCGAGGCGGGTCCTTACCACCTCAGCAGCGAGTCCCCTGCGGAAGGACCTCCGGTGTCCTGGCCAGCGGCTGTGTCTTTGGTGTGTGTTTGGGCAGAAGGGGTCAGGGTGGGAGCGGGAAAGGCTGAGGCCCCTACTCGGCTGCAGTGGAAGTGGCTCTGAACCCTCCGTGAGGACACCCGGCCACCCAGGTCCCGTGGGGTCCTGGGCAGGTCTTCTCTGACGAGTTATCCCCTCGGCAGGAATGAAGGGCCCGACAGCCAGGTCCTCTCCTGCACCCGCGGCCTCAGAGCGCTCGGGCAGTTGTGCCCAGGTCCTGACTGTGAGCTGGTGACCGAAACGCCCCCAGGCCCAGTGGCAGGGACAGAGGAGCCCACATCTCAGAGGCACGAGTTGGGGGTGTGCACACACAAGACTCAACTCGCCCCACTCGTGGGGGACACTGGGCGGCCGCACGTACATGAATGGCAGCCTCCACCCTGTGTCGTCCAGCTGGTCCCAAGACCTCCCTTCCCCAGGTTGGAGCCGTCGGCGACGAGGAAGAGTGGGTTACCCTCTACGAGGAGGAGAATGAACCTGACGCCCAGACGCTGCAGATCCCGAACCTCACGCCCTACACGCATTACAGGTGAGAGCGGCGGGCCGTGAACCCCGCACGAGGAAGGGGGTGCCCCCCACCCACAGGTGGCCCCATCTGCAGTAGTGAAACCTGGCTGCATGAGTGTAAGCAAGACACTTCCAGGTGGACATAACAGTAAATTGAACCTTTCGGGGCACGAGACACGGTCGAGTGTTATTCCAGGGAGGTGGTACCCGATGCTAGGTCAGCCACGCCCCCTACCACCAACGCCGCTGACCAGGCAGCCAGCAGCATGGCTGGTACATTAGGCTTAGTAGCCAAGGCCCACGTGGCTGGAGATGTGGTGCTTTTCTTTACAAAACTCCACGACCTCTGGGGACCGTTACTGTGCTGTGTGTACACAGAGCAGGCGTCCTCAGAGCACCCTTCTGCTTCCCCCTCCCCGCCCAGGACTAGCAGTGATCAAGCACTTAATGTGCCATTTAACCTTTGCTCCTTGATCCTGAAACCTATCCAGGCAGTACACCCTTGGCCTTAACAAAGGGTAGGCTGGTCATGGGCTGGTAGAGACATCGTGACTCCGCCATAAGGTCACTGAAGGAGGTGGAATGTCCAGTTATCACCAGATGCTGAGTTTGATAAAGTCACTGTTCTGCCAGGATGGATACATTTCATAAGATCGGGGAACAAAAGACTCAGAATGACTAATTCAGGGAGTAAAAGGTGAGATGTTACATCTTTTTGCGAAGGACACTTTTTCAGTACGATACAGCAGGCTTAGGGGTTTTGGAAAAAACCTGACGAGAGATGCTGTTTAACTTACATTCATTTGACCATCCTTCCTAAGATTAGAGCAGATGAATCAAGATACACTTGTTTTTAGAGAAAAACATTCAGCATAAAATGACCTGTTGGGATGCAAGACTTGCCGTGGGAAATTAGTATAAGCTATACAGTCATTTCCAAGATCAGAAAGTGTGATTAGAGATCAGTGAACCTGTCTTAAAATCACGTAAATTTAGGAAGCCCCTCTAATTAATATGTGTGTCTACTTAGGATATTTGTTTGGTATATAAGTTCAATTCGAATAGTTGTACACATTAATAGAGAAGAGATAAAAACTGAGAACATTAAAAAAAATAAAAAAATAAAAAAAAATAAAAAAAAACTGAGAACATTAACATCGACTTTAAAGAACATCTAATTCCACCCTCGTTTTATAGACAAGGAAAAAGGCAAGTCAGCGATGGGGTGAGAGTCGCAGGGTGTGGAGTCTGGGGCCCTTGCTCGTCTCCTGAACCAACAGAGGATGGGTTGCAGGGCACCCTTGGTCATTAAGAGACACTGGAATTTCAAAGCTGTCATCTGGTAGCGACGTTGTGGCATTCCACTTCCGTTAAAGAGCTACTTGAGCTCTAACCCCCTGGTCTCGCCCTGAACTTGAACCAGCCAAGGGCATCTGACGGCACAGGTTCTGGCCACGTAACCCATCCAGTCACGCTTCCCTCGGAACGGGAAACTGCTGAGTTGCGGTGCCTTTACCATTCTGTGGAGGCTTTTAGGGCAAGAGGCCATATATGTAATTCACATTTTTAATGAAACCAGGTGGAAAGAGCGTGGCCTTGAGCAATGGCCTCTGTGATACGGGCAGACACGTATCTGCCCCCGCCCACCTCGTACCCCTGGAAGTTGTGGGTGGGTTTCCATCCTTCCACATTACCTCTTGTGCAGAGTAACTCCGGTCGTGGGCTTTGCTTCCAGGTTCCGAATGAGGCAGGTGAACGTCGTCGGTGCCAGCCCCTTCAGTCAGTCCTCCCGGGTCATCCAGACCCTGCAGGCCCCCCCGGACGTGGCCCCCACCAGCATCACCGTCCGAACCGCAAGCGAGACCAGCCTGCGGCTCCGCTGGGTGGTGAGTTGGGAGGTGGGGGGCCTGCGTGGGAGCCCAGAGCTTAGTCATTTCCTAGTCTTGCCTTGTCCCGGTCCAAACTAATCTCATCGTTAAACCAGGAAGTATTGCATTTTGCAGTCGGTGTTGGATCTCAGAGCAGCCCCCGCTTCTTATTAATTAGTAGCATGACTCACTGGCTTCTTGGAACCGAGGAATATCTTTGGGGAGGAAAGCCGCTGGCCCTGCAGGCTGAACCTGTTAAGTCCTTAAGCCAGGTTGACACGGAACCAATACTCGGTATTTGTAAGAGAGCCAGGTTGATATTGAATCAGAACATTTCCCCACAAAATTAAGCTGAAATGTATGAAAAGAAATTATGTCCAGCCAAAGTTACTGAAAGGACTTCATTTAATTAACAGAAGAAAAGTTCCAGGGGAAAGTAGAATAAAGGTCATAAGAATATTCACCCCAGAACATCTCTTCCGGGGACTTGGCCCCCTAAGACAGGCCCGTGCATGGAGACCCTCACGGGGGGCGGCCCCAAGACCTTGGCTCACCGCGGACTGTTGTCCACTTCCAGCCGCTGCCCGACTCGCAGTACAATGGGAACCCCGAGTCCGTGGGCTACAGAGTTACGTGCTGGCGTCCCGACCTCCCGTCCACTGCGCTGGCCCAAGTCATCAGCGACCGGCTGGAGAGGGAGCTCACAGTCGAGGGGCTGGAGGAGTGGACAGAGTACGAGCTGCAGATGCAGGCCTTCAACGCCATCGGGGCCGGGCCCTGGAGCGAGTCCGTGCGGGGCCGGACACGGGAGTCAGGTGAGACGAGGGCTGGCCGGGCCCTCCCCGTGTCTCCCTGGAGACCGAGCAGAGCGTCCGCAGTGTCACTGGCATCTCGCTGGTTCATCCCCCACTCCCCTGCCATGTCTATGTTGACACTTTCCTGAGTAATTAGGTCCAACTGCATTAGAGCCCATGACGCTGCTTTGAAATTGATGATGAATTCTACCAGGGGCTAGACTCGCATTATTACCTTTTTAATTAGGGGTAATTCTCACCACCAATGATGAAAAGTAGGAGTGTACAGAGACTCTAAGGAGGTCTTTATAATGCAAGGAGTTCGGGACCTCCTTCTGATAAAGTCACGCGTGTGATGTGCTGAGCCTCCCCTGCGCCAGAAAATAGACCCTCAAGAGCTCGATTGCTTTAGGACAATGGCAGTTTATTTCTCTCTCGTTACAGCCTAAGATGGGTGTTCTTGTTGTTGGGTGGCTCTCGTCCATGAGGTGATTCAAGGACCCAGGCTCTGCTGTCCTGTAAATTAACCACCATCTGCATGCAGCTGCCAGAGGGGAAGAATGAGCAAAGGGTGGGCGCACCTGTGTCTTAACACCTGCGCAGAAATGGCACACACCCCTCTGCTCACGTCCGCGGGGCTCGGGCCACCGCTCATGGTCAGGAAGGAAAGGAAAACTTTCAGTGGTCTCTCTGGAGAATGCTCTTCTTCTAGGCTTTGCGGTCAACATGGTTTGCAGGACCCTTACTGGCCTGGTTCCAGTTAGGTAATGAGTAAGATTTTTTTTTTTCAAATCTTAAAAACATAAATACTTTGTAATTAGATGGCAGAGTTTATCCTGGTGGGACTCGAAGCAGCTGAAATGTTCATCCTGAACACTGCGATTTTCTCTGCCTGTCTTCTCATTAGGAAACCAGCTGTGTTCTAGGCGCCGGGGCTGAGTTGCTGTGATCACAGGGTTGCCCTCATTCTCTGGAGATGTGGATGGCCTGCCAGTAAATGGTTTCACATGTCACTGCATCTTAGGAAATCAGCTATTATTTGTAGATCTACAGTGAGAATTGGGCATTCATGGTTTCAAAGATTAACCCGAAGGAAGCAGTTAAGGATTGAGAGGTTGACCGTTTGTGTTGCTATGACAATGGCTTCTCTCTTCACAGTCAGGGATGGGAGTTTAGAACATAGCACTAGTATCTTGGGCATAGAGTATATTTTCTGCTCTCACCTGATTCTAAATAAAGTCAGGAAACGAAGTTAGGTAAATGGGAGGCGTACCTTCTCTTTGAATGCTAATGACTCCTTTAATTCACACTTGATTCCAGGTGCCAGCTTATCCCTCAGTTTTTTAGAAAATAAGCATGGGTGTAAACAGTGTCCTGGTAACTGCCTCGGAAGTTACGACACCCGGTGGGGGCCCCCAAGGCACAGAGAGCACAGGTGACACCATGGGAGCCACCGCCAGAGGCAGGGGGACACAGGGCGGCATGTGTGGCAAGCATGCTCCCCTTCAGGGGGCTGAGTTAACCGGAAACCGTGAAGATTCTTTTCCTGTGACCCTTATCTGCTCAAATAAATTAATATTCTTTTGTTGAATGACTGAATAACGGAATGAATGACTCTCAACTGACATATTTGGGAAGAAAAAATTTTTATCGGCCCAGTGGGCTGACTTGCATCTTCTCTCTCCAGAAATGCCAGGAGGGCCCCTGTGCTTGGGACTAACAGGCACCGACAGTGGCATCTCTGTTTTGTGGGCACTGGCAGCCGGTCTGGTGCCTGAGTTCTGAGGACAGTCAGTCAGTGTAGCAAGTGGACAAAGGGAGGGGGGCCACTGCCTCCTGGGCATCGAGCCAGGGAAGTCGCCCTTTCCTGGGGCTTGCAGCCCTCCCAGGACAGAGGTGGCTGAGCCCAGGTTCAGTGTCCCCCAGAAGCTCGCCCTGTGCGGTGGCAGCCTGTTGCTGGGCCTCCTCTTCTCTCCATCTCAGACCTGCCGGTCGTGGGAATGACCAGGTCAAGCTTGCGACGACGGAGCAGCACCTCTTCCAGGCCCAGCATGAATCCTGGCATGTTTTTCTTAAAGCCTGTGTTCATTTCCTGGGGCTGCAGTAACAAAGGACCCAAACTGTTGGCTTCAAACAACAGATATATGTTCTCTCGTAGTTCTAGAGGCCAGAAGGTGGAGACCGAGGCGTCAGCAGAGCCGTACTCCCCCTCTGGAGGGGCCGGGAGGGCCTGTCACAGCCAGCCCCCAGCTTCCAGAAGCTGCTGGGCTGGGCAGCACAAGCCTAGTCCTGCCGGGGGGTTCTCCCCACGTGCACATCTGTTTCTTCTCATACGGACACCAGTCCTACTGGATTAGGGCCTACACTACCCCTGTGTGACCTCATGTTATTAATTACATCTGTAACAACCCTGTTTCCAAATAAGGTCACATTCTGGGTAGTGGGGTCAGGACTCCAGCATAGGAGCTTGAGGGCACACACTTCAACCCACAACAAAGACCAAATCACTTCAGTGTGGGAACTCTAGGAATCATAGGTTGGGAGCACTGTCGTCGTGCAAACACACATTACTTTCCGGATTCAGACTAACTGACTAACAGAGTCACCTTCACAGTGGCTGTGCCATGAGGAGGAAGTACTTACGCGTGAGTGAGCGAATGGGTGGATGGGTGAATAGATGAGTGAGCGAATGGATGGGTGAATGAATGGATGAGTGAGCAAATGGATGGGTGAGCGAATGGATGAGTGAGCGAATGGAAGGATGAGTGAATGGATGAGTGAGCAAATGGATGGATGAGTGAATGGATGGATGGGTGAATGGATGAGTGAGCAAATGGATGGGTGAGTGAATGGAAGGATGAGTGAATGGTTGAGTGAGCAAATGGTTGAGTGAGTGAATGGATGGATGAGTGAGCAAATGGATGAGTGAGCGAATGGATGGATAAGTGAGTGAATGGATGGATGAGTGAGCGAATGGATGAGTGAGCGAATGGATGGGTGAGCCAATGGATGGGTGAGCCAATGGATGGATAAGTGAGTGAATGGATGGGTGAGTGAGCGAATGGATGGATGGGCGAATGGATGAGTGAGCCAATGGATGAGTGAGCGAATGGATGGGTGAGCGAATGGATGGGTGAGCGAATGGATGGGTGAGCGAATGGATGGGTGAGTGAGCAAGTGAATGAATCAGTGAGTGAATGAAGGAAAGAGTGAACCAGCCCACAGGGCGGTCCTGGGGGGTGACTGAGAAGACGCCAAAGCCCCGTCACGTGTTATGTACCCATGAGATTCGTGAACTTGACGTGTTCTCCTTTTCGACCGTGGAGGCTCTGGGGGGTGCTGAGAGCTGCCCTTTTCTTGGTGCCTGTTACTCCCACACAGGGATGTGCACTTGGTAACCCTCCCCTCCCCTCCCCTCCCCTCCCCTCTCCACCCACCTGCCCCCCACAAAGTGCCCCGTTTGGAGATGTCAGTAAACTGGTGTATGACGGTGAGGATTTCCGTCTAGGATGAAAGTCACAGTTCTCACAAGTTAATATAAGACTCAGACGAAGCTTGTTTTCTTGCTGGGTGGACTCAGGTAAAATTGAGCTCCTAAATACCCAGGATTTATGGAATTTGTTGCTAATATTAAAGAGATTTACATTTCTGTGCAGGTTTAATCTGATCACTGCAAAATGTTCAGAATACACTGCTGTTTCAAGGACTTGATTATGTGGGTAAAAATGAGACCTTTATTAGTAGAAGCCTTTAGACTTTGGGCGCCAATCTGTTTAACTCATTCTCTGCAGTTCCTTCAGCCGCCCCTGAAAACGTGTCAGCCGAGGCCGTCAGCTCCACCCAGATTTTACTGACGTGGGCTTCGGTGCCCGAGCAGGACCAGAATGGGCTCATACTGGGCTACAAGGTATGTGCTCAGGTGACCTTCCTCTGCCCACGCTGTGACGGTGCTGTCACCTGTCTCCCCAAACCCGTGAGCCCACATTTTCCTGCCGATCTGCAGCTCTGGCCTGTCTCCTGATCCCACGTCACTTGTCTCGTCTACCTTCATCACAGGCTGGAGATGAGGCTTCGGTGTTCCCTCTTCCTGTGGGCCAAGACAAGGCACTAAAAGCTCTGAGCCTCTTTCCTCTCTTGTAAAGTGGGAGGAGTGATGGTAGCTCCCTCCCAGGGCTGGTGTGGGAAGTGGCTTTTTCTGTAAAATGCTAAGGACGTATCATTAGATCCCTGCGCGTGTGTCTGCACGTGTGTCATCAGCGGTGAGGGCTGGACACCTTCCAGCTTCTCTGGAAGGCGTTCCTGGGTTTAGTCTTGTGTGTGTTTACCCAGACCCTTAAAAACCTACTCTGTTTCCGTTCCATCCCCTCCCCCAAGAAGCAGGACAGATCTTCCTGGATTTGACCGCAAGGCCACGCTTGTCTCGTGCACTGCCGCCTTCTCCTCCCCGCTCTCCATCATTTAGATCCTATTCTGTTTCCCCACCTGTTCTCATGCCCTCCCCCGACCCCGGCACCCTGATGGCTCCCTTCTGGCCCCTTTAGACATGGCGACCCCGCTGCGTGGGTTCAGTGACCAGCACTCCACGCCCCCTACCTGGACCCTGGAGAAGAGCGCTCGCCAAGCCCTTTTCAAAGTCCCCCCTGATGAGCCCCTCTTTTACGGCCCTCTGGTCACTGATCTGAGGGACCAGTTCCGAGAGGGTGAGCTTAGGGAATAAGGGGGAGCAGGCGGGCCGTGGAGGGGGCATCTCAGCATGCTGTGTCTGCAGCGTGGGCAGTAACTAGCCCAGGGGTGGGGCCTCGGGTTCAGGGGGAGAGCACAGGTCCCCTGAGGCAGGAGCCTAATGTCCCAGTAAGCCGGGCACACGAGTGGCTGCTGGCCCCTTGCACGGAAGCAGCACGTCTCTGTGTTCCTAGCGAGCCCTGGTTTCAGTGGCTGCCACTGGGCACCTGAAACCCTGTGAATTACAGCGGGGCGTCTGGCTCTCCCAGTCCGGCCATGGCTGGGGCACATCTCCAGCTGCCTTCCAGTCTGGAGTCCAGCTGCTTCATCTCCATCTTTCCCCCAAAATGCCAGTGGATAGGAATTAGATCCCTAAGCCCTCAACACGGCTGCCCAGGGGGAGGACCCTCAGTTGCCTGGTCCTTGCCGCGTGGTCCAGGCCCGCGAGGCCCCGCCTTGCACACCGTCCTCCTGACACCGCCCCCCCCCCCCGTGTGTCATGCTCAGATCCTGTACCGCGCCAGAGATCTGGATCCTGAGCCCAGGAGCCACGTGGTCCGCGGGAACCACACGCAGTCCGCGCTCCTGGCGGGTCTGGGCAAGTTCGTGCTGTACGAGCTCCAGGTGCTGGCCTTCACCCGCATCGGGAACGGGGTCCCCAGCTCGCCCCCCATCCTGGAGCGGACCAAAGACGACGGTACGTCGACGGCTTGCCTTTGCCCGTCTCCCAGGTTTGCTGTCACCATCCAAACCCTTTGGATGGTTGTCATTTTTAACTTACTTTTCAAAACACTCTTTTTTCTTCGTTTCAGCACAGGAAAACAAAACAAAGTTGTTTTCTGGTCACTGAGCGCTTCTATGGCCAGTTTCAGCCGGAGTGAATGTTCACAGCCTAATTAACAGCCTGAGCACAGTTTCATCGTAGCTCTGCTGTAGGCAGTGCAGTAAAGGCCGGGCAGCTGGGCCAGAAAAACCTAAGGCCTGGTGGTGTTGGCACAAACCTGGCTGAAAACCCCACTGCAGACCCCGTGCCGCAATTCTAGATCCTCTGGGCTTCCCGCTCGCGTTTGCATAGTAAGGGGTCATTAGAGGCCCCACAGAGTGCGGCGTGTGACGGGCTCCCAGGATACCCGGGGTTCGCAGCCTCCGTAACAAGTACATCTTGACGGCATTGTCTAAATCATCAGGAAATACGTTTCTCCACCTTGCAGATGTCAAACACTTAAAGGTTAGCTGCTTTACATGATCTGTGTTAAATAGACCATGATGAATATTCTGGGGGAAAATGCCAGTCTCCCCCCAAAACACCCAGGCTCAGAAGCAGCTGACAGAAGTGAAACACCCACAGATTTTCTTAAGCATCTTTACTGAAGTAATTAAATCAAGCCCCGAACGCACTCTGACCGCTGAGTTGACAACGTTCTCTCCGTGTTCCTGGGAGACACCCGTAGCTGGGCCTCCCCTGGGTCAGAAGAGGGGGCGCCTTGAACCTGGTCCTTCCCTGGGGGCTGGTCTCAGGGCGGCTGGAGTCTGAGAGGGACCGTGTAACCTCAAGGTCATGTCTTTGCAAAACTATATGCTCTGTCGAGGGCCACACACATAAAAAGTAACAGGAGCTTTTAGGAACTGTTCCTCAGACTCGGGCAGTTATCACAGTTTCTTCCCAAAGTATAGGCTGGGGCGAGTCATGGACTGATTTCTCTTTCTCTCTCACAATCCCGATGTAAACGTGTTTCTCCTTCCCCTCATTTCATTGTGATGCAAATGATCAGCCTTGGGGACAGTGAGGGGGCAGAAACCACAGAAGACAGACGTCAGAGTTTCCTATTCGTGAATTGGTCCTGGTGTGTGAGCCCGTGGCCTCCTTCATTCATTTATTTTACCTGAACACAGGGGTCATGACACATGTTTATAATTTAAAATACTGTTCTCAACCTAATAGCTTGAGGCAGAATCCAGCAGCCCTGGAATGACTGTAACGCACGTCGTTTTATGTGTGTATTGATTGCTGCAAGCTCATTGCCTCTTACCTGGGAACCAATCAGTTCTTAAGTTCCAACAAGAAGTTCCCATGCTGGCCACACGCTTGCTCGCCTCTCCATTTAAGTAAATATATTTTACGACGGCCGTGACGCTATTATTCAATGGTGCCGGGATACATAGCTGGTTTTTTAATTACCGCTGCACCAGACCGCACAGAAGCACTATTCCGTGTGTTTGTGGACATCAACTCTTAATTTTCTGGGATAATGTGGGAGAGGGGTCCTGTGCCTAAGAGAAAAATCATTGGTTATAGCCATGTTACTTGGTCAGTAATTGTAACCTCCATTGGGAGGTGGGAGGGACCTTCGGCCACCTTATTTATCTGACACCTGCTTGGTGGATGTCCAGCCCAGGAGAGGAATCAGCTCAGATTGGTGAAATCTCTCCTGTGACTTGACGTACCCTCTACGATGCTGTTTAGCGACTGGGCCGCTAGCTTTAAGTAACATGCTCACAGGACTCACAGCATAGCTCATGAGCACTGCTTACGCCGCTTGGAAAGCAGATGAGCTGGATTCAGAGTGAGGCATTTTCTCAAAGTCATTAGGGAGACACACAGAGATTCCAAAAGTCACTTTCCCAGAACTGAGAGTAACTCACCCATGAACGGTGTCATCGGCAGTCATGACTGTCCTCGGCCAGCCCACAGAACCCTCCCCCATGAGGCCCCGTCGTGTACCCACGTGACATCCCAGCGGCGCCTGAGTCACCGGTCTTTTTCTCCCTTCAGCCCCAGGCCCACCCGTGAGGCTTGTGTTCCCAGAGGTGAGACTCACGTCTGTGCGGATCGTGTGGCAGCCACCGGAGGAGCCCAACGGCGTTATTCTGGGTAAGGGAGCGGCAGTGACTAAGGAGATCACAGCTTAGAGACAGATCACAGCTTAGAGGGAGATAACAAACAGATCGATTTCATCTATTTTTATTAGATGTCTAAGAGGTTAAAAAAAAAATCCTGTCTACAGCAGCCTGGCGTCTTCTGAACTGAGAGACTACAGCCCTCTAACTGTGTCCTGCACTAAGGTTTCTTTGCAGAATGAAATTTACATTTTGTTAGCCCAGAGTTTCGTGTTCGTTCGTGATTCGTGGCAGTCTGTACTTGACCTTCCGTCCGCTCTGAAATAACCCAGCTATTTTGATGTGTGTTTGGAAAACCACGGGCTTGTTTTTCTTGGAAGATTCACTCCCAGGCTTTGATCCGATGTCCCGGAGACGTCTGTCTTCCGCTGCAGGGCCTGCACCTAACCCTTTGAGGAAGTTTCCCAAGTGAACTGCATGCTTAGGTCTCAGGGAAATGGTTTACTCTGAACTTTTCACTCAGAGCAGCAGCTCTGATAACTTTGATGAAAAGCCTTAATCTGTCCTAGTTTCCTAAAGGCAGCAAATTTTATTTTGAAAAATCATCAGCCCCTTTATTTGTTCGCCCTTTTCCACCAGGACAAATTAAGGGCCTAAGATATGCCAGGCCTCAATGCTCAGAGTGGTAGGTAAGGAGTGGATAAGATGTAGGTGGGCCGTCCTCGCAGGGCAGACACCAGCGACACTACCACGTGGTCGCGATGCGGTAGGGGTTCCAGGAAACGCCCTGCAAGCCACGCCTCCTGGGCCAGGGGGCTCAGTGGGCAGAAGGCATTGTCGGACTTTATCTTGAGGATGAGTGGTAGCAAACCACAACTTGGGTCCGCTAGCCCGCGCCCAGTAAAGCCAATCTACTGACATTGGGTTGCAGTAGGCGTCCAGGGCAGCTGGTGCTCAGAACACCCCAACTCCCCGAAGCGTTTCAGCAGAGCATTTTTAAAGGCCAGGCGAGGGAGGGGGGTCGCGGGGTGTGCGATCAGCTCACGCGCAGCTCTCTGAGTGGTTGACGGTGAAGTCACAGGGCAGTGGCACAGGGGTTCACGTGATCAATCCTCAGGCTCCAGTAGGTCTGGGGACTACGTTTCGTGCTCAAGGTCATCGAGTAGTTAATGTCTTCCACATGCTGGAGGTTTTAGCATCTGTAAAACAGCTCAGGGTAAGGGCATCAGATACTGTTATCTGGGTACCTCAGAGAGGAGCTACAGCAGAGGATGCGGGGAGGGTCCGTGCTGGGAAGGCCCCATAGGGTCCCGCTCGGTTGCATAAGTGGTTTCCAAATCCTTGAATGGAGCGCTGCCTTTTGCCTGTGGGAGCACAGACCTCCCAGAGGGAGACGCGGGCCGGGCCGGGCTGTGAACCACTGGGAAGGCCATGCTTCGCGTGCAGGAGGGGCCAGAGGCCCAGACCTTTCAAAGTGGGCCTTTAAAGGCCAGGCACGAGGCCCGGTGTAAGCTCCAGACGCAGGCAGCCCTGAGATGCGGTGTTAACCTCCTCACCCACGGCAGACCCCACGTACGCCTGCTTGGGTTATCGGGGATTGACGGCAGGACCATAAACGCGGCTTACAAACAGCAGTAAAATGCACCACTTAGACCTGCTTTTGAGCTGAGGATGATAAGATTTGGTCTAGAAAGGGGTTACACTTAATTGTTTTTAAAAAAATTTGAAAATCTGTGCTGAGGACCTTGAGAAGCGAAGTGACACGACCGGATGTGTCTTTTGGATAATGTCGGGCAGCCGTGAAAAGGGTGAACAGCAAGGCAGATACTTATTGAGTTCTGACTTCATTAAGACGGAGCCCGGGGCTCCCGAGTCATCTGCACAGCAGGCCAGGGGCCCTTCGGCTCCACTCTTTCCTTCTGCAGTTCCTGCAGCCACTTGGCGGTGACGACAGTGTTTCTGAACTAGGGGACCTCTGGAACCGCAGGTTCTTGCTGTTAAAATCACAACAAACAGCCGGAGAAGCCTCTGTTGCCGTGTGCGTTTCAGATCCCGTCCAGCTGAGGAGCCATCGCAGGCCAGTCTCAGGCCCTGGGGCGGCAGTGGTCTGCAGAGCTGGCTGCTACCCTCCAGGTTTCCTGGAGCCCGCACGCCGGCAGGGCCTGCCCCCGACTCAGTGCCCAGCCTACAGCCTTTCCCGGAACAAGCAGGGCGAACACGCAGGGCGAACCGTCTGTTTACCCAGGGCATGCCCCAGCACGCTGTGGAACAGGAAACGTTTCCAGAGCACAAGATGCGAAATTCCACCTGTCACTTCCAGCCCTAGGAGCCTTCCAGAGCGGTGTTGTCTGTGAGGATCGGGGGCCCCGGCTGCTGGGGAAGGAGGCCCCAGGCCCCAGGCCCCCGCCCCCGCCTCTGCTGATAGCCCGGCTCGTCCCGATTCTGGGATCATCTCTGTGCTCTCCTCAGCTTTCCGGGCCGATAAGAATTAGTTCTGACAGCAGGACTCCACGGGGATGTGCAGAAGGCAAGTGTGCCCTTCACGTGGGATTCCCTCTTTGCGCAGACCGCCGTGTGCTCTGGTTTTGTTGCCGTGACTTTGAACTGCTCATCCGAGGGCTTCCCTGCCAACACGGTGAGGCTCTGGCCCCAGCCAGCTCTGAGCCGTGGTACTCGCCTGGTGCTTTGCCAGGAGAGACCCCCTACCCCGGGCCGCTGCTCTTCCTTTGACGGTCACATCAGATGGCGTCTCTGCCTGCGGCTTACCCCCTCGCCCATCCCGACCTGGGCTCGGCTCTTCTCCTCTTTGCTCCCAGAGCGCCTGCGCTCACAGTCACAGCACGAATCCTCCGTCCACAGGAGACCGGCGGCTCACTTTAGAATCGTGCCACCTGCTCTTAAGGGTGTCTTCAACATCAGTTTTTCTGATCATGAAAGCACGTGTACAATGCAGGTAATTTAGATAGCGTTTCACATTCATCCAGTTTAGAACCACAGAAAGTCTGGCGATCCCCAGCAGAGAGGAGGATTTGGGGGTGCAGCGTCACACACTCTCGTTGGGGGCGTGACCTGGCACAGCCGCGGTGGGGCGATCCAGGCATGGGTGCACCCCGCACCCCAGGTCTTAACCCTGGAGAAATCCTCCGGCCTGTTCACAGGAAGAAACGCACAAGGAGACCCACTGCAGGGCTGCTTTAAAGAACAGAAAATTTTAAAAAAGAAAGAACTGGAGACAATCCAAATGTCCATCAATAAGGCAATGAAAAGGTAAACTGCGGCCTATTCATTACCGCAGAAATCACGGTAGCAATTGAAGTAACGAACAAGACCTACATGTGTCAACATGAATAAGTCTCACAAGCATCTGTTGAGTGAAGAAAAGCAAGTTGCAGAAGAATATATCCAGCTGAAGAATGTCTCTGTACATCTAAGCACTCCACAGACATTACCGTGTATCATTTACGGCTACACGTATATAGTAAAAGTGTAAAACCTTGGCAGGAATTTGCAGTAAGTTGAGAATAGGGGTTACCTTTGAGGAAGAGGATCCAGTAAGACCACCAGAATAGCTTCAACTTTTTTCTGTCATGTTTTCTCTCTTATAAAAATAAAAACAAAAACCATAAAAATTAGGCAAAATCTCGAGATTTGTTCAGTGCGTGATGAATACATGGGTGTGTGATCTATATTATTCCAAGTATTTTTCTGCATGTTTGAAATACTTTAGAGTACAGCTGAAGTATTAGTTTAGAGTACAGCTAAAGTATTAGGAGAGTAGCCCCCGCTCACCGCAACTAGAGAAAGCCTGCGCACAGCAACGAAGACCCAACGCAGCCAAAGATTAGTTAATTAATTAATTAATTTAAAAAGTGACAACGGCCCTCCCCTCTCCTCCCCACCCCGGACCCACAGGGACATGGCCTGAAGACCCACCACGGGCACTGGCCGGGCGTCATGTCCGCGGGGACGTCAGGGCAGGTGTGGCACAACAGAGGGTCGCACGCGGCCCAGCCTCTTCGGGCTGCAGAGGGTGTGATGCAGAGACAGGAACCAGGCCCAGAACTGCTCGTCTCTCAGGATGTGGCCCCACGTACACAGCCCTGAGCAGCGGGCCTCATCCTCCCGTGGATCCCCAGGCAGGCACGGTCTGCACGACCTCTCCGGCAGGACCACGGGCTGCCCCCTTTGGGCCTCCCCTGTGTTTTAAACCCTGCGTGGCGGACAGGCTGGGTGGAGGGGGCAACCCCGCAGCCACGTGGCCGGGCGCCGACCTCGGCGAGTGAATTCACACCAGTCACTTAGTCCCTGTGTGCCTGGGCTTCCCCACCCTCCAGGGGGGCGGCATGTCCCTCCCTGGTCGGGCCAGTACGCGGTGCACAGAGAACCCAGAACAGGGCCAGCCTCCCAGCGAGTGCCCGGTCAGCGCCAGCTGGAGCGCTGTGGCCATTCAGTATCTCACCCCTTCTCTTGGGCCGGGGAGTGTTCTGCATCACTGTGTATTTACACGCAGTGTTTACTCCGTACCCACCAAGGGCGGGTTGCACAGCTTTGCTCTCCGCTACCCTGGCGGCTGGAATGGAGGCTTTATGCTGGAAGGCAGCATGGGGCCAGGTCACAGGACTCCCCCGAGGCACTGAGAAGCTTGGGTGTGGATCTGTAGTCCCTGGGGGTCGCTGAAAAATCACAAAACTCCAGATAAGAAGGGGGTCATACTTTAATCCTTTGACGGTTCCAACCGTGGCCAGACAGAGGCTAAGTGAGACAATGCTCTGTCCCTCCAAAGTGGGAGACATCACACTGGAGCCTCTGTGGCTGCAATGGCGTTGAGTGGTCATTGTAACGAACGCTGTCTTGGGTAACCTGTCACCTGGATATCGTTACAGCCAGCGCACTAAATGGCAGGTGCCGTAGGAAAGATGGGAAAACAGGTTCTAAAGATTCGGACTGGTGTCCACAGGGGACAAAGGAAGACATCTTTCTTCGAGACTCACTTTGCATCCAGGGGCCTTGAATCAGCGTTCCCACTCCAGCGGC